AAGCAGGAGAAAAAGGGACATCTGTGATATTTTGAATAAAAAAAATTTAAAAAATAATAAGGAAGAAGGGGCAGAAGAAGGGAGAGGAGGAAGAAGAGGGGAGCAGTAATAGGATGGGAGGAGGAGAGAGGAGGGGAGGGAAGGGGAGGAAGGGAAAGAAGGGGGGAGGAAGAAAGCAAACAGGTTCTGCTCTTTTCCCCTCTGGTCATTGTACGTTCGGAGCAGACATTCAAGTAACAGTTCTGATTGATTAGCGGTGACTTAAAGCAAACCCTCAAGGCGGCAAGATGTACAGAAGCCATCGACTCACTGCTCATTGATTGACTGAGTAGATCTGCTGCCTGCGGCTGCACCTCTGTCCCCAAGTTCCTCAAACTACAGCCAATTGTTTCTCTGCCTGGCAGAGTCTCAAACATGCTGGGGGGGAGCACGCCATTGGCCTCACACCCCTGGATCCCTCCGTCCCCTGCCCTCCCCTCTCTTCCCCTGTGGAGGTCTTCCAGCCGCTTCCCAGGTGCTGCCTGGTCCTCACCCCTCATCACCCAGCGGTCGCAGTGGGGGCTGAAAATGGGCAGGACATGCAGCCAGGACACTGCTGTTGGCCTTGGCTGGCTAGGGTGCGCTACATGGACGTGCCGTGTGCACGTCAGGCACGAAGCTGCTTTTAGGAGTGGATGCTCTGGGCGCTGCCGAAGCCAACCTCCCAGGATGACGATGGGGGGCAGGGGGCAGGTAAGCTACTTTCTCCAGCTTGTTGAGTGCAACCCACAGCCTTACAACAGACATGGCTTTCTGCCGGGGGAGTAGGAAGAGAAAGAGCAATGTTTACATTTCCAAACGTGACCTCTCTCCTCTCTGAACAATGAGAACACTACAGAATACACTGCATTTACTTCGTTATGGCAGTGGAGAGGGAAGGGAATAGATGCAGCTATGCTAGGTTAATGAAGGCTCTTCTAAGAGCTGCACCATTTTACAGTCCTTTTTATTGCATGCCAGTCATGAGAGAATGCTAATTTAACAACTGACACAATTTTCAGGGACAATACATATTAGAATTAGCTCCCATTCATCGAAACCACTCAAATTAAGCACAGGAATAATGCCCACATTTCATTTTGTAGACCGCTGTATCCAGCTCATTCTCAACAATATCCCATTTATGTGTCTCAGGAGGAAATTTTGGGGACTGGGATACAGGCAATGCATTGTTGTTGCTGTTGGTTTTTGTTTGTTTGTTTGAAACAGCACATAAAATCTGTTACCACTGGTAACTACTATTTTTAAGTAGTTTAATGTATCCTTAAAAGGAAATGATTAGCAGAGGACTGACAGCTAAATATTACAGGCAATGGGTTCATAAAGTGGAGGGAGGTACAGGGGAGGTTTGATGCCTCTTTCTATATTGACCTGACATTCCTTACATGCTCATAATCATAATAGTTCCAAGGATATTTGATTTTTGGCTAAATAGAAAAAGGAAAAAAATAATCCAAGTTCATATCACTCACCCACTGTGCTGGAGAGCAAACCAATATCTACAGCAGTGTGTGTGTGTGTGTGTGGGGAGGAGGGGTACTGCACCTTTTTGAACTGAGCTAATAGCCCTCAGGTAAATATAAGTCCCCCTTACTGGAAAAGTGTAGCCAAACTAGAATTCTTGTTGGCTTCCCACCCACTACATTTCCCCCGATTGCCTGCTAGCAGAAAGATGCGGACATCTCCCCAGCTGTGCCCGGCCCAGTCCAGCTTTGTCTCAGACTAGCCCAGCCTCTCTCTCACGATCGGTGAAATTTTTCATGTTGCTCAAAGACCACAACTGTCATTGCAGTTGACTGTGCCAAAACCTCTCGTACCCACTCTTGCTCCTCACAGTATTCCCAGGATCTGTAAAAAACAAAGTAAGCTGGCCTTTCAAATGTGTTGGAAACGATTCTGGATCAGCAGATCCTCAGAGCACAGGCTAAAGCTTCCACACTGCGGACATTTTGTGGAGAACAGTCAAATGACAGCCTGTTATTAACCCAAGGACTTGAGGGAGAGCCACAAGGAGGGAGTCTTCTTGACCACGAGGGGGCTCCATTGGACCATCACCTACGCAACGGCGAAGGAGTGACGATTATTTTTTCATTGTTTACTTGTTTACAAGAGCGATCTTCCACAATGAAAACAGGAAGTACCTGATAACGAAAGCAGGATGCTTGCCTTAATGATAGGCAACCAATATTAAAAAGAAAGAAATTTGAACTTTAGAATAATACCAAGGATGTCTAGAATATCAAACTTTATAATAATACCAAAAAGACTAAATGTGATAGAAAATAAGAATTTACAATTTAACCAACCACTGCTGATCTCATGGCTAAAGTGTTTTTCCAGGAATAATTATTTCCAGGTAATTAGGCAACAGCCATGGTTTGTGTTTTTTTCTATTTCCATATTGTTTTCCTTCAGTGGTTTGGAAATTCAGGGATGTGGGTAGAAATACTTCTACAAAGCCTAACATTCTGAGAAAATTCTCCCAAGTAACAAGATCAGTAAGTCTTCTGAAAAGCATCTTCACTCCTATGCTTCCTCAACACACTCATTTAATGGTTTATGACAGTTATTTCTCATTATAGGACAATGTTTACTATCCTGATCAAAGGTAAATATCATTGAATTCTGACCGAAAAGAAATTTATGCCTTAGCTGAGCTAGAGACTCTCCACATTACCTTTCTATCTGTATATATGTCTAGCAGTGTCCTGATACAGTTCTATTTTATGTATATTAGAGAAAAATCCAGAAAAGGCAAATTACTTACTTTTTGATATATACATGCACTTTTTAAGAGTCTCTATTTTTACACTTGATGCATCAAGAATCAGAGCAAAAACTAAGAAGCATCATTTATGCTGGCAGAATGGTATACTGATTAGTTTGCTGTCTGACTGTCCCTTTTATGAAACATCATGAATTTTATTTTTTAAAATGCTGTGATTTTGTTCTATGTAACTTATCCAAAGATCACATCAGGCCTTGCCCTTTTTTTCCGAAAGTTTGTGATGGCTATTGGCCAAAGGTTCTGAACGCTCTTTTGAGTTAAGAAGATGATCAGATGGAGCATGGAGGATTTTAGAGCTGGATTTATAGTACTGTACCCTATATGATTCTACAATAATGTACACATGTCATTATACATTTGTTCAAATTCATAGAATGTACAACACCAAGAGTGAGCCCTAATGTAAACTACAGGCCTGAGGTGAGACATATGTACTACTCTGGGGGGATGTTGATAATGGGAGAGGCTATGCGTGGGTGTGGGGGGAGCAGGAGATATATGGAAAATCTCTGAACCATCCTCTCAATTTTTTCTGTGAACCTAGAATTGATCTAAAAAATAAAGTCTTTAAAGAAGATGGCCAGAGCTCGCTTGGCCAGAGAACACCAATCATCTCAAAGTGGATATTAAGCATTTTGGAAGAGTGGGCATGTCTGATGTAGAAAGAAACCCTATTTAAAAATCAGGATAAAAGGAGATTCTGCTGCCCTGAGCAGTGGTTTGAGTGTCAGCCTGTGGACCAAGGGGAGCAGGTTTGATTTCCGGTCAAGGGCACATACCTGGGTTGCTGGTTCAATCCCTGGCATGTGGGAGGCAACCAATAGATGTGTCTCTCTCACACTGATGTTTCTCTCTCTCTCTCTTTCCCTTCCACTCTCTCTAAAAATCAATGGAAAAAATATCCTCAGGTGAGGATTACCAACAACAACAAAAGATGCTGCTAACCTTTTACTCAGACTTACAAGTGGGCCGCAAAACTAGGGTAACTAGGCTCTTGACAAGACCCACCTGAGGCGTGAAGTGGGGTTCTTTTTGTCACATTGTCTTTCACCAAGATAGATGCACCCTGGTTGATAAGAGCTTCCACACATTCCGTGTGTCCCTTAAAGGCAGCCAGGTCCAGAGCAGTGCGGCCTTTCTCATCCCTGATGTCCAGGTCCACCAGTGACTGCAGAAGGACTTCCAAGGCTTGATGATGCCCATTGTAGGCCTGCAAAGAAGAAACCAACGACACAAATGCTCGCCCGCCTCAAATCCCACAACCATCCAAAAGAGGGGCTGGGCCTCCAAGGTCACGGAGAGAGGCCACCCCAAAGAGCATATCAGAAAGACACTTGGGATAATTCTGAAAACACAGAAAACCAGAGTTAGACTGAAAAATCATAATGCATGAAACTCAGTTATGTATGAATTCCTTCATGTCCTCTCTCTTTTGCCAAATAATCTGCCCCAAAGGCACTAAATGTACTAATGTATTCTTATATCTGTTGACCTACTAATCTAATAGAGACTAGTAGCTGAATGAATTAATATATTATTTTGTCTGTTCAGTCTAAACACATTGACATGATCAGAATATGTTTTTCAGGAGACTTTCCTGTTCAACCTGGAGAAAAAAGTTACAAAAAACGTGTGGTGTTCGTAATACAACAGAGGCATACAGTGTTACAGTTCAACATTTTAATTTCTAACCATGTGACCCTGAGTGAGTTTCCTAATTTCACTTAGTTTATTTCCTCACCTACAAAATGAGAGCAATAAAAGGTGCCTCCCAGGGAAGATGAGAAGAGATGAAATTGCGCAGGCTGTGCATAGCATCCTGTGCACTGTGGATGTTTCCTCCTCTCTCCTTTACTTCGTGATTATAAGGAAAACATAAAAAAAAGTATGGAAATATAGTCTATGTACCAGCACCACGTTTGGATTTATTATGAGGTCCTACACTATGTTAAGAGCCTTTATGCTACTAAAAAACAAAATCAAAAGTCTGAGAGATGATTTTTATTAAATCTATGAGGTAAAAAAATGTATATGTACACATAAGACAAAGGGCACTGAAATAAAGAAAAGGTTATAAGAATGTGGGGAGAAGGAAACAGGAGGAGGAAGGGAAATAGAGGGGGAGAGAGGAAAAGCCTGTCCCGAGGGCCTTCAGCAGCCAAAGTCCCCTCTTTTGTCGCCTGCCCTGCAGTGATTACTCAAGGCATAATTTATCTGAAAAAAGGCTTAGTATGGAAAAAGGCTAATTTCTTTAATATAAAAGAGATTTTACAAAACATTTTTAAAAACTAGAAAATGTGCAAAGGGCATAAAAAGGCAGCTCAAATAAAAAGAAATATAAAAGGTCAGTGAACTTATGAAAAAATTATGTATATTTTTATGGTACTATTTTTTGACTACCTGATTGCCAATAGTTAAGTTTGGTCATGTCCAGTATTAGTTAAGAACAGTGAAAAAAGCAATCTTACTCTCTGTTGGTGGGAATATAGATTGGTGTGACATTTGTGGAGAGCAATTTGACAAAAGCTATTTTTTAAAAAATCCAAAAAACTAAGTTGCAACAGTACATACAGCATGACTTCATTTATACAAAAAGCATATCCAGAGATACACATATTTATATATATGTATACTTCTGTATTTATAGCAAATTTCAGATTACAAGAGAAACAACCTCTACAAATGAGAGATAATGAACATATGGACTTTTTTCACCTTTTCTTTTTTAAATCGTTTGAATTTTTTCCTCTGAGTATATGTTTAAAACAATAACAGAGATTAGAGAAATTAAGAGGACTGACAGTTGTTTTAAAACTTTCCCATTACATTACTTTTTGTGAATGATTATGTTATTACGTTGTACATTAAACATATATATAAATATATATATAATATGTATAACATAAACTCATATGCTGATGAATCCAAAATTTATATCCGAGTTCTAACTTCTTTTATTTCTACACCTGTACATTCAATTGCCTGTTGGTATTTCCACTTGAATGTCTAATATGTATCTTAAGCCTAACATGTCCCAGACCATATTCCTTTTTTTTTTTTAAATGTCTTTACTGATTCCAGCGAGAGGAAGGGAGAGGGAGAGAGAGAGATGGAAACATCAATGAGTCATTTATCGGCCACCTCCTGCACACCCTCTACTGGGGATCGAGCCACAATCTGGGCATGTGCCCTGATCCGGATTCGAACTTCGATCTCCTAGATCCTAGGTCGATGCTCAACCACTGAGCCATGCCGACCGGGCCCAGACCATATTCTTATTTTCGCTCCCAAAACTTGCTCCACCTGCAGCCTTCCCATGTCAGTGAGTGACAACTCTATTCTTATAGTTGCTCAGGCCCAAAACTTGGGAGTCATCTTTACCTTTCCCCTTAATCCCAGGGTTGCAGTCCTGCACCAGGGCTCTGGGACATCAGGGCAAGCGAGTGCTGAACAACAGCCTCTCTCCACCTTCACTCCCCCTCACCGACCCTGCCAGGCCCTGGTACAGCGATGTGTCTTCTGAGAGGAGGGGATACCTTTTGCTGACCATACAGAGATGTCATCAAGTTCTCAAGCACCTGGCAGGAAAATATCTACCCATCTCCCTTTTCTAATTCACACACAGGCACTGTATGACTGGTAGCAGCTCTCAAGGCCATGATCATCTGCCTCTAGTTGCGAGCCATGATCACCTCTATTCTTTCTTTAAAATATACCCAGAATCTATCCAGTTCTCACTATACCATGATCCTCTTTTTCCAGGATGATGGCAAAAGCTTCCCTTTCCATCATTTTCCCCCCTACAATCTACTGCTGACACAGCCATCAGATGAAATCTTCTAACACCCGAGTTAGACATATCACTCCTCGATGAAAACTAGCCTATGGCCTCTTCCCTCATTGATAATAAATTTCAAAACTCTCCATGACCATTCAGGCCCTTAGGCTTTGGCCTCCCTCGACCCAGATCATCAGCACATCCCCTCACTTACTCTGTTCTAGCCACACTATCCCCCACTATGGTTAAATACATGCATTTCTGCCTCTGGGCCATTGCATCTGAACTTTGTTTCCTCTGTCTGCAAAGCTCTTCCCCAGAGAGACACATGGCTTTCCTGGTGCTTCTGCTTCAAATAGCACCTTACCTGGAGGCTTCCCAGAGCAGCCTCCATCTCAACACACTCCCACTGTCCACCACACTGATCCTAGTTTATTCTATCTTCATAGCACTTTTTACAAAATTTTAAATACATAATATTAAAAACAAAGGTAGTAAAGAGTTCTCATCACAAGAAAAAAATGTTGCAACTATGTGTGGTGATGGATGTTAACAGACTTACTGTGGTAATCATTTTGCAGTATATACAAATATCAAATCACCATGCTGCATACCTGAAACTAACACAACGCTACATGTCAATTATAACTCAATAAAAAGCAAAACAAAGCAAAAAAAAATACCCCAGGAAATAAATACTACTCAAAACGTATTGTTTCCTAATTATTTTACTAGACTTTACAATAATCTATATGTAGCACTTATTTAATTGTCACAGCAACCCATGGTTTGGGCACTATTGTTAGCCACATTTTACCTACGAGGACACAGAAGGGCAGAGCCATTACCCAGCCCTCCGTGGTCACACAGCCTTGCGTGGTGGAGCTGGGACCACTCAGACCCCAGAGCCTGGGCTGCAGCCCTTTCACGAGCTCCTATGGAAAGGGTGCAAAGGGGCCAAAAGGTATATGTTTCTTTAATTTTTTATTAGGACATGTCCAACTATACAAAGAAGATAGGATAGGGCAATGAATTCCCACGTACCCATCACCTAGCCTCAGCCACTACCAACTCAGGCCATAGGTGATTTTAAGCGGCTGTGGTAACAGGAGCATCTACATGAGAGTTGTAAATCAGTCGATCTCCCCTTGGACTTGAGTCTGTGGCGTATTTGAAAACTGACTTTGCATAACACTTCCTCTCATTTTAAATTGTAATGGTAGCAACTAATTCAGCTTGTGTAGAAATTCTGACTTTACACCAAAGGGAAATGACTCCACATAGATAACAGCAGATTCTAGATGCTATTTGTAAACGGTGTTTCCTTCAGTGCCAGTTACTATTATGACAAAAATAGTGAACATTTTAATTTCTGTCAACAGGACAGCCTAAGGAAATAGAACCAGTAACTTAAAAACTGCATGCACATGTACAAAGCACAATATTGGGAAGGAAGCTGGTGTGAAGGCATCGGCACCTCAGAACAGCAGTCTCATCACAGGGCACTTAGTTGCTGACTTAAGAACCTACCTCCTCTAAAAGACCCCTTTAAACTTCACAACAAAAAACAAATCCATTGGCATGTGTCAGAGTCAAAGAGGCTTAATATCAAAACAAAATGGAGTGAACCCTGCTGGTGATTAGAAAAGCTTCAGAATTCCAATCCACATTTTCTTCTATACCAGGTGCTTGAAAATTCTCTTAGAGACAGAATTGTTGAAAGTCCAGGTATATCTGTAGAATCCTTCTTGTTTCTTCCTTTAGTCTAGTTCCGCAATTTTCAAAAGGTGTGCCACAAAAATGTCTAAAACATGCAATACCTAACTATTTAGTCAGGGGCATTGGTCTCTTTTCCCTTAAATTGTCAAATAAAAAAATAACAACAGCCAACACAACAATAGCCGACCAGTCCAAATGAATCAAAATTATACCTATTTTTTGGTCAGATGGGCAAGAAATATATTTTTTGATGTGCCACAGTATTTTAGTAATTAGTTTATGTGTGCCATGAGAGCTCTTGAATTTTAGTATGCATATGAATTACAATACAGAATTAAAGACATACAATTATGTACTAAACTTCAAGGGCAATACAAGGAGAATAATAAAGGTAACTTTGATTGTACAAGAACTTTCATTTACTTTCACACTTCATAGCTTAACCCTATGGAATTCTCTTTTAGGGTTAAATGCAAGATTCTGTCTTCAGGCAGTTATATGGCTTTCGGAGTGTATTTTAAAAAGTATACAATAAAATTTGAAACTCTTTGAAAGAGATGCAAATAGCCAGGAAAGGAGAACTTCCTCGTGTCAGGAGTACATGATGAAAACTGTCATATTTTTCTATTCCCATCTTAAACCAGGTGTTTTGTAGTAATTCCACAAATAATTTCTGAAAAAACTAAAGAGGAAGTAACACACGAAGAACAAATATGCTGGTTCAAAAAGCATGTAATATTTTTGCTTTCAGTAGACAACCCTGTTTAAGCCTTTGCTGGAAGGAGCAAACATTTTTTAAATTTGTTTTTGAAAATTCCTTAAATCTCATTAGGTAACAAATATTTTTAAAACATGATTAATTTCTTTGAACTTTTTAGACTGGAACTGAGGGCAAGAGGAGAAAGAATTTGGGATCTCCAAAGAATCCATTAAACAATGGGTCCATCTGGAAATCTCGACAGCTGGAGCCCTTCATTTGCATAGCCCTGCTTCTTGATTTAATTTTTTCAAGTGGTTGAAAATGCTTATGAAATTCACTGGGCTGATCACCCTGGAGACTCGAATCACTCAGCCAGGAAATGGTAACTCTAGGCAGGTCAGGTATCTTGTGGCACTCAAGGTCTGAGGGCATCTGGTTCCATTTCATTGCTAGAATGCTTCCACCTAAGAAATAATGTGCCTTGGGTTTTTATCAAGTTAATTGCTACAGAGGCCCCTGGAGAGGCTGATGAGCGTCCTTGTGGAGTTCTTGAAGCAAATAATATTTTTTAAAAGGATTAGTTAGCATTTAGAGGCAAGAATAAAATAGTTTGAGAAATAACCCACTGCCATCACCCTGGTCAAAGTCATCATCATCACTGTTTGCCTGGTTGTCTTCCTTCTGCTTTTGCTCTTTTATAATTTAAACTCAACGCACTTTAAAAACAGAAGTTATATCGTATCATCTGTCTCCTCAAACTTCTCCAAAAGGTTTCCTATTTTGCGCAGAGTACAAGTCAAAGTTCTTAAACGGAGTATGAGGCCCTCTGTGATGTGCCGAAGCCCTTGCACCGCTCCCTGCCCCTCCACCACATGCCAGACCTCATCCCCTCGGCTCTCCTCCAGCCACAGCGGTTTTCTTGCTCTCCGCTAACCTGCCAAGCATGCTCTCCCCTTGGCACCTCTGCCTAGAACACTCTTCTGTCAGATATCAACATGGGTACCCCTAAGGTATCCGTTCAAATGTGAGATTCTGTGCTACATAAAATAGCACCCTGTCTGCCGCCTCGATGCTCTCTGCCTCACTGATCCCGATTGTAGCACACGCAGTACTTACTGCCATCTGTCCTGCCACAGTCACTTGCCTATTGTCTCTCCCAGACTGGAAACTGCACCAGGACAGAGCCTGGGTTTTGTTTAGTGCAACGTCTCCAGCTCCTGGAACCGTGCTTAATACATTCACAGTCAGTATATGCCAAATGAAAGAACGATCTTCATGTTAATGACAGTGACGATGAGGCTGGGTGACCGCACGCGTGCCAGGCGCTGCTCTAAGTGCTCTACGTGCATTACCTCACGCCATCCCCGCATCGGCCCTGGGAGAGAGGTACAGCAATTCTCCCCACACAGTGGGTGGAGAGCGGAGACGCGAGATCATACAACAAGCAACTAAATAAATTAACAAACAGGAAAGGTTTGGGGATCCTTAACTAGCTCATTGCTTTTAGTTTACAGGTGGGGAAACCATGTCCAGGTGAGCTGCTAATGAGAAGAGTGGTGGCTGGGACCCCCTCTCTCTATGTACTTCCCAGACCCCAGCCGGCTGCAGAGCCACCAAACCCAACTGTCGCCAGTGATATTGTAGCCCTTGTCTTTATATGACTGGAAACCCATAGAGCTTAGCAGAGCACCTGGCATACAATAAGCACGAAACAATAATTTTTTTAAAATGAATGAGAGATGATAGAATTTCTGGAAGCTAAGAAAGTCTCTCCTCAGATTAGCAGTAGGCCTGGCGATGCAATCAACCCCACCTTCAAAGGGCATCAGGATTCTATCTGAGAAAACCTTTCAAATAAGCCTCTGTAGGGGCAGCTCAGCTTTGGGGTAACTTCTCCAGACACAGCCCATGGAAGGTCGGGCAGACATTTCAGGGAGCAACCTTTAGAGCAACCAATACTAAAAGCTAACTGGTATAAATTTTTTTACAAAAACTTTACAGTAGTATCCCACTATCCATCCACCTTTTCCATTCCAAATCCATCTCCAAGAACAAAGATTTATGCATATTTTTAACCTGATTTCACTGGCCTCATGTGTCCCAGTGGCTGCAGCTGGGATTGGAACTTAAAGCAGTCTTTCTCCTCATGGCCTGAGCCTTCGCCCACGCGCTGTTTTCATTATTAGTTATTTCTGCATTANTGGAACTTAAAGCAGTCTTTCTCCTCACGGCCTGAGCCTTCACCCACGCGCTGTTTTCATTATTAGTTATTTCTGCATTATTATGCTTCCATTTTAAGAGTGGCCTAGTTTTAGGAACGTTTAGGTTCCTTCTGTAACAAGCAAAGTTGCCCACAGCATCTCACTTACAGCTAAGTGGAGCGGACTCTTGGTAGCACCGGAATCGGATTCTTCAAAACCACTGTTGGTTCTTTCCAGAAGCTGTGGAGATGAAAGGAAAACAATAGTACATAAGTGTAGTTTGCAAAAGAAATCCTACTTTATGGATATTAGTGTTAGCATAAAGGAGGAAAGAAGTGTCAGAAACTTACGAAATTATGCAACTTATCAGCAATATAAGCAATGGGATATAGCAAAACACAGTATTTCAACTTCTAGATTGTCTTAGTATTTGGTTTTTTTAAAAAGGCTTTCATGCTTCAAGAGGTGCTCAGCCTCACCAATCCAGAAAAATAATGCATGTTAAGTCCAGATGGTAGTAATGAAGAAATTACAATGCCTAGTTTATTCCATTATCAAACACACATTTACTGGAGATAGTGTTGTAAAAGACGCAAGAAGCTCCTGTCCTCATGGAGCTTACACTGTAGAAAAGAAATCCAGACAAACAAATTCACAAAAAATATCTGGTGTTGATAAATGCTATAACGAAAATGAAACAGTGAGATGAGTTCAGAGTGACTGGGAAGTTACTTTACAGCCGATGGTCAGGGAAGGCCTCTCGGTTAAAGTCAGACCTGAATAAAAAGAAGAATTACACCAAGTGAAGCTGTGGCAAGAGAGGGTTCTGGGAGGAGGGAGTAGTCAGTGCAAACGCATGAAGAGGGGACGAACATGGTGAGTTCGAGGAACAGAAAGGATAGTGTGACCAGGGCACGATGTTGGCGAGGGTATCAGGAAAAAGATTCTCAGGGAGTCCTGGCGGAAAAACAAATTATTAAGACATTTCTAGGCAATTTGTGCATACCTTTAACCCCAGGAATTAATTTCCAATAAATAATTACACAGTGCACAATGATGCATGTATAAAGAAATTTATTCATTCAACAGATATTTAATAAGTGATCACCAATGTTCTCAGACACTGTCCCATGCACTGAGGATTCAATAATAAATATTTTAAAAATCCATTTTTCTCATAGGGATTGGGCAGACAATAAAAGAAAGAAGTTTTGTAGTTAGAAAATGGTAGGTGCTATGGAGAAAAATAAAACAGAAAGGGAGAGTTNGTGGGCAGACAATAAAAGAAAGAAGTTTTGTAGTTAATTAGAAAATGGTAGGTGCTATGGAGAAAAATAAAACAGAAAGGGAGAGTTTGGAGGGCTGGAGGGGAGGTCAGTTTGCAACTTAAAATAGGGTGAACCAGAGAAGGTCTTACTGAGCAGATGACACAGCGAAGTCTTGAGGACAATGGGAGAAACTTGTGGATAGCTGGGAGAAGAGCATTCCAAGGGGCCAGCAACTGCCAAGTCCCTTAGGAACAGGTGTGCTTAAGAACATCAAGGAGGCTGAAGCAAAGTGAGCAAGAGTGAGAATGACAGAAAAAGAAATCAGAGAGATGGTGGTAGTGCGGGGAGTGGGGGTGTCATAAAGAGCCTTCTGGGTTGTAAGAATTTTTACTTTTATCTTGGGTGAGATGGAATTTCACTGGAGGGTTTTGAGCAGAGGGGTGACATGTTCTAACTTTTAGGGAGGGCACAGAGACCACTGATGAGCTGGGGCAACATCCAAGAGTGAAATCAGTGTCTTGGAGCAGTGGAAAGCAGTAGAGATGGAGAGAAGCAGTTGGATTGTGGTTATTTTGGAGATAGAATAAACTGGATTTGCTGACGGACTGAATGTGAAAGAAGGAGAAATAAGTCAGGAATGCCTCCTAGAATTCTGTCCTAAGCAAATGGAAGGATGAAGGTTCTAGAACTGAGATGGAGAAGGCTGAGTGGAGTAGATGTAGTGGGAAAGACCAGAAGTTCAGTTTTGGAAATGTTAAATTTGAGATGTTTTCAGAACATCCAAAGGTACATGTTGACCACGCAACTGTTGGGTATGGAATTCAGGGTGCTGAAAGCTATAAAATTGGATGAGATGAAAGACTGAATCTAGGGGCACCCAACATTAAGAGCTGGAGAGATGAGGTGGAGCCAGCAAGGAGACTTAGACTGAGCAGGTGAACTAGAAGGGACACCAGGAGAGCATGGGGTTGTGGAAACCACGTGAAGAGGGAGTTTCAATGAGAGGATGAGTAGTCATGTCAAAAGTCCTGATAGCTCAAGTAAAATGAGGCCTGATAATTGACCACTGAGTTTAGCAACATGGAGGCTATCGGTGACTCTGCTAGGAGCAATTTATCAAAGCACTGTTTATATGAAAAAAATAGGAAAAAAGTAAATAGCCATGCGGATGAGGGGAAATGAGACCACTTAATACACTAGGAAGCAAAACTTCCTAAAATCCGCTTTATCCATTTTTCTCCCTGAAAATCTCAAACTTGTCAAGGGGAAAACATATTTTTAAAGCCATATTTGTGGAATTATACCATTTCCATTTTTAAAAATTGCATTGGCATGACTATAAATGCAGAAAAAAAGCCTGGAAACACATGCCCTAAAACGTTTAACACAATAACCTGAATGTGGGATTATATATGATTTTTATTTTCTTTTTTATCTATCCTGATTTTTTGCAGTGAGTGTGTAGTTTTCATAATCAGAAAAGCACTGAAGCTCTTTCTATTTGGGGAAAAAAAGCTATTGACCTTCTTTTTCATTCAATAAATGATGTCCACAGACCCCCCCAGATAGGTCCAAAACTCTTTTCTAGTCAGTACATGTGGAACAAAATGTTTGGATCCTTTAGTAGATCAAATAACAGTGTAAAACTTACCACCTAAAGGCACACAATTTCAAGTTTTCAGATAATACAACACAAAAAATGAAATTGGAAGTAAGAGACATTTTATGTTTGTTTCATTAGTGTGAGAACAGAATATGGCACTTAAACAACCTAGGGTATGTTGGAATAATGAGAAAAAATTTAATTTTAACTTCAAAGCAAATAACTTTAAAACCAGTCTGCCTTATATAGTGGAAATAAAAGTAGCTTTAACTGCTTGAAAAGGCTAGTTCTTTGCTTTGTTTTACAACATCACCACCTGCAAGACTTCCTGGAACTGACAGTGTGCACCAACTCCAAATCTGGTCCTGGAATGAACTTTTAATCAAAGAAACACAGAACTGTTTCCACCATTATCACAAACACGATGAACAGAGGCAAGAAGACAATATATTGTTTATAGCCACAAATTAGGCATGTTCCCAGGTTTGCTGTGGAGTATGATTTTCCACACATATACTCTGATCATACAAACAGCATGTGATGTTTTATTTCAACCACTCACCAAATATTCACGGAGAATCCCTGTGCAGAACTCTGGGATAGGCATCCAGATTCAACTGTTAGTGAACATACATGGTCATCGACCCAAGAGAAGAGCTTAGAAACTAGTGGGGAACCACTGAAGTTAACAGGTAATGAAAACAGGGAGGCAGGAGCTAGCACACAAAATGCTACGGGAGCACAAACAGATACCTGACATAGCCTTGGGAGTCAGAGAAGACTCCTCTGTAAAGGAAGGTCTGGGCTGAGACCTGGATGGTAGGAGTCAGCCCGGCAAGGAGACAAGAGAAATTCCAGGCAGAAGGAAGACAGTGTGAGAGCAGTGGGTGCAACGAATTGGAAAGGCTTTAACTTCAGTAAGGCAAGAAGAGCACCCAGGGGCGAGGGAAAAGTGAGGAGCAACGAGGCTGGAACGTAAGCAGAGGGTAGGTTAGCTATAGGGTGATCATACCGTTACTGTGCAATCCAGGATATTTTTAAGACTGATAATTGTGCTGGGACAGCAGTTGTGGACCAGGGCATTAAAAAGGGATAATCATTCAGAGTCGCTGAAGTGCTTTCAAGCAGGGAAGAGGCATGATCCTCATCAGATTCTTGGAATTCATAAAAATCACCCTGGTTGCAGTGCGGAAAATGAACCCCAGTGCTGCTGGGGGTGGGGAATGCACCCTAGAAGCAGGGAGATCAGTGAGGATATTTCAACTATGGGACTTCTGACCTGTGAATTATTAAGTTGGTAAGAACTGATGGGGGTCTAAACTGCAGAAGAGGCCGTGGAAGTGAAAGTTGGTGGGTGTAGTCAGGAGTTTCATTCACTCCTTCATTCATTCATTCAGTAATTATTTTTGGAGCACTGTGCTAGGCACTGACATTTTCAGTTCTATAATGGGCCCTAACCACATGAAACTTATAGCCTAGGAGGTGTAATGTTCACATTCATTCATTGAGCTGTGGAGGAAGGGGAAAAGGGTAGAGTCAAGGATGATACCCTGTTTTCTAGCTCTGGTAACAGGGTGAATGGTGATGCCTCCTCTAAGGTAAGAAACAAAGAGAAAACAGAGATCAGGGGAAAGAAAGATGTGTTGGGTGTTGTGGAACATTCAAGAGGAGATGTGCAGTGGACAGATGTCCAGTGAAGCCTAGAAGGGAGATGTGGGCTAGAGTAATGGATTTGGGAGTCATCAGCAGTGCGGATACATGAAGCCCCCCCGTGGATGAGACTGTCCTGGGGAATGTGTAACGAGAGAAGGGAAAGGGGTACAGGGCATAGGCCTCCGGGCCCCCGGTGTTTAAGGGTTTGGAGAGGAAGGGAATCTGCATGTGGGGCTGTGAGGACACAGAGGGGCAGGAAAAAAACCAGGAGAGTAGGGTGATTATGGTGAGGTGGCCAGGGCAGCCATGATTACCGTGATACGAAGGTGGTGGTGATAAGTGATGATGATGAAGGTTCTCACTGACAACGGCCAGAAGTTATTAAGCATTTACTATGAGCCAAGCATTCTACTAGGGGCCTTCATGGATCACCTCAATCTATCCTCAAGTAATCCATTAAGTGATCTACTCAAGTTCACACACCCTGTAGAGGACAGATCAGGGCCCCTTACTACCCCACACAGCAACGCCTTCCTGGCAACTAATAAGCTGCAACTTTCCCCTGATGTTTCCAAAAAAGCAGCAGGGGTGAGCGTAGAAAACAAGGAGATATTTTGGTTTTGGTTTTTAAGTATGTGGGTCCTTTTACGTCTCTAATTTCAACAATTTTCTTTTCTTTGAGATTGCCTTCACTTCCTAAGGAGTGGTGAGTACCC